GGTCTTAGTGGCTCTTTCTGGCCCATTCCTAACCGTATTGAACCATATTCCCGGGTCTTGGTGGCTCTTTCTGACCCAATCTTCTCCGTATCGAACCGTACTCCCGGATCTTGGTGGCTCTTTCTGGCCCATTCCTATCCAATCAAACCGTACTCCCGGGTCTTGGTGGTTCTTTCTGGCCCATTCCTAACCGTACCAAACCGTACTCCCGGAAATTGGTGGCTGTTTCTGGCCCACGACACCCACTCTTATCCGTAACAAGTCGTACCCCCGAAAGCACGATCTTTGCCTGTTGATGGACCAGCTGATTCCGAACATCTTGGCTGTGGTGACACAACAAAGCCGTTGATCTCCAAGTAAAATGCATCAGCCGGGAATCGAACCCGGGTCACTTCGATGGCAGCGATGTACTTTACCACCAGACGACTGATGCTTCTGGGAAAGCCGAAGGCTCAGAGAACCATAATGCCAGTTTTGCCTTCCAGCTTCGGCATCGCTTCGAGCCGGATGGTCGCTAATCGCCATCCGGAAAACACCTTTCTTGAGTTCTTCTCCAGGACCTTCCACCCCCAAGACAAAGTAAGATTGAGGTGTTGCCGCTCTGAAACGGGTCTTGGTGGCTCTTTCTGACCCACTCTTACTCCCGGGTCTTGGTGGTTCTTTCTGGCCCACTGGTATCCGCAACAAATCGTACTCCCGTGGCTCTTTCTGGCCCATATTCCTATCCGTATCAAACCGTACTCCCGGGTCTTGGTGGCTCTTTCTGGCCCATTCCTAACCGTATTGAACCGTACCCCCGGCTCTTGGTCGCTCTTTCTGACCCACTCTTATCCGTAACAAATCGTACTCCCGGATCCTGGTGGTTCTTTCTGGCCCACTCTTATCCGCAACAAATCGTACTCCCGGGTCTTGGGGCAACAAATCGTACTTCTTAGCAGTGGGGCACCACTTCGAAACGACCATCAACGGCAACAAATCGTACTTTTTAGTGCTGGGGCACCACTCCGAAACGACAAACAACGGCAACAAATCGTACTACTTAGCATTGGGGCACCACTTCGCAAACAAACAACGGCCACTAGTAGTACTTCTTAGCACTGGGGCACCACCTCGAAACCACAGACCGACGGCTACAAATCGTACTAATAAGCACTGGGGTACCACTTGGAAGCCACCGACGGCAACAAATCATACTTCTTAGCACTGGACCACCACTTCGAAACCACAAACAACGGCAACAAATCGTACTTCTTAGTATTGGGGCGCCACTTCGAAACTACAAACGAAGACAACAAATCGTATTTCTTAGCACTGGGGCACCACACCGAAAACACAAGCAACGGCAGCAAAATGAACTTCTTGGCACTAGGGCACCACTTCGAACCTACAAACAGCACAAACAACTTGTACTTCTTAGCACCGGGGCACCACTTCGAAACCACAAAAAACAGCAACAGCTCGTACTTCTTAGTGCTGGGGCACCACTTCGAAACCACAAACAACTGCAACAAATCATACTTCTTAGCACTGGGGCGTCACTTCGAAACTGCAAACAACGACAACAAATGATAATTCTTAGCACTGGTACACCACACCGAACACACAACTAACGGCAACAAATCTTCCTTCGTAGCATTGGGGCACCACTTCGAAACCACAAAAAGCGGCAACAAATCGTACTTCTTAGCACTGGGCACCACCCTCAAAAATACAAACAACGGCCACAAATTGTACTTCTTGGCGGTAATTCTTGGCGCTGGTGCACCACTTCGAAACCACAACAACGGAAGCAAATCGTACTTCTCAGCACTGAACGGCAACAAATGATACTCCGTAGCACTGGGGCACCACTTCGAAACCACAAGTAACGGCGACAAATCGCGCTTCGCAGCACTGGTGCACCACGCCGAACACACAAACAACGGCAATCAATCTTACTTCTTAGCACTGGCGCACCACTCCAAAACCACACGCAACGGCAACAAATGGTATGTCTTAGCACTAGGGCACCACTTCGAAACGACAAACAACGGCAACAAATCGTACTTCCTAGCACTGGGTCATTACTCCGAAACCACAGTCAACGAGAACGAGCCGTGCTTCTTCTCGCTGGGGCACCCCTTCGAAACCCCAAACAACGGCAACAAATCGTACGTCTTAGCACTGGGGCACCACTTCGAACCATAAATAACAGCAGAAAATCGTATTCCTAGCACAGGTGCACCACTTCGAAACCACACACAACGGCATCAAATCGTACTTCCTAGCACTTGCGCACCACTTCGAACCTCAAACAACGGCAACAAATCGTATTACTAGCACAGGTGAACCACTTGGAAACCACATACAACGGCAACAAAATGAACTTCCTGGCACTGGGGCACCACTTCAAAAAATCAAATAACGGCAACAAATCGTACTTCTTAGCAATGGGGCAGCACTTCGAAACCAGAAACCAATGGTAACAAATGTACTCCTCAGCATTGGGGCACGACTTCGAAACCACAAACGAAGGCATTAAATCATACTTCTTGGCACTGGAGCACCACTCCAAAACAAAAAATAACGCCAACTTCTTAGCACTGGGGCACCGCTTCGAAACCATAATAGCGAAATAAATCGTACTCCTTAACACAGGGGCACCACTTCGAGAATATATACCAATGGTAAGAAATCGTACGCCTCAATATTGGGGCACGCTTTCGAAACCACAAATGAAGGCAACAAATCGTACTTCTTAGCACTGGATCATCACTCCAACATCAAAGCAATGATATCAACTCATATTTCTGATTTCTGGGACATCATTTCAAAATGATAAATGACGGCAAAAAAATAGATTACTTGATATATTTGCACCACTCGAAATCGCCTACAATAATGAAAAAGCGTACTTCCTAGCACTGGGGCACCTCGTCGAAATCATAAATAACGACAACAAAACGTATATTTCTTAGCACTGGGGCACCATTTCGAAATTAGAATCAAAAGTAGTGAATCGTTATTCTTGATATTGGGGCTCCACTTCGAAATCACAAAAAAGACAACAAATCGTACTGCGTAGGACCGGGACTCCATACCGAACCTATAAATAACGGCAACAAATCAATTTTCTTAGCACTAGCGCACCACTCCAAAACCCCAAATTACGACAAACCACCAAAACGTACTTCTTAGCATTGGGACGCCACTTCAATATCCCAATAACGACAAGAAATCGTATTTCTTATTTATAGATCGCCAAGTCGAAATAATTAACCAATAACAATCAATCGTATTCCTTAGCACTAGGGCGCGACTTCGGAATCTCAAATAAAGAAAGATATTCAATCGTACTTCTTACTAGGACGCCACTTCAAAACCATAAATAACGCTATCAAATCGTAATCCTTAATACTAAGATACGATTTCGAATCCATAAACGAAATTAATAAAACGTATTTCTTATTACTAAGATATCAATTCAAAATTAATCATAACGAAACTAAATGATATTTGGCAAAAAGAAAGAACCTCTTCAAAATTATAAATAAAAATATCAAACCATATATCTGGGCACTAGAATACGACTTCGAAATCCTATCCAATAATAATAAATCATATTTCTCCGCTTCATTTAAATTCGATAGAATTTGATCAATCTAAATCTTACGGATAGTCCTAAGGAGAGAATAGACCGAAATTTATGGGTCTCTAGTTTATAAAGAAATTAAATAAATTCTTGAAGTCCTAGATTTTCCAAATACCGCCTCCAAAATTCTCAAAATTATTTAATTAAGATCGAGAGTTAAATAATTTTAATACCACCGGGCCCTCCCCTTTATCAAATTTAATTTGAATTATATAATTATAATCGGAATTTTAAAATTTCCTGACCCCAGAACCTTTCCTCAAAATTGAAAAAATTGTTCCTATATTTCAAATAATATAATATATATATATATATGTATTAATATTAAATTACGACTAGAATTCAATATAAAAAAGAAATCACTTTTGAAATTATTCAATCTATTTAGAAATTAGAATTATATACAAATTAATCAATTTAAATAATATCGGATTCCCTCCTCAAAATAGAAATTATCTAGAATCTTATTCAAACTTAATTAAATTCGAGAATGAAATATATAAATCATTTAATTAATCCCAGATTCCTTCTCAAGATTTAAATTTAATATATTCCGCAATTATATAATTTAAATAGCACCGGATCCCTTTCTCAAAATTTACATAATTTAATTAAGATCGAGAATAAATATAGATTCTCAAGAATTTAAATAGTCCGAGACCCATATTTCAAGATTCATTTATTTTTTCATTCAAATTACTTAATTGAAGACCCATTATTAAATAAATGAATAACTTATGAATATTTTGAATGGCCCCGGTCCCCCCGAGATCTTCTCGTCCTAGAATCCCAACCCAAGAGTTTGAATAATTAGTACCGAGAATTTAAATATTCAAATAATATTAATCAAATTATTGAAACCAGAAAAAATATAACCGCTATCTACCTCTCCGCGTTCATCACTATACGAATGAAAAGCATAGTTTCAACCAGCAGCGATAATACTTCATTTATGTAATTATCAAATTACGGTCCCTTTTGGGTCCTTATTATACGGCCCCGAATACTTAAGATTTCAAAGGGACAATAAAAAGGGACAATAATTTTGCCAGCCACCCACTTTAGCTGCCTGCAAATACGGAGAAGAGGTTAATACAACGCATATGAAATTCTTCGATCGAAATTTCGCCTTAATCTCGAGATTAGAGAATCAAAGATTTCTCGATAATATGTACGCTCATCTTTCTTCCACACGCCCATGAATCGTAAGTGTCTCGAGCCATTCTCACGAGATACTCGTCTCTACGAGTAGGCTCATGTTTTCCCACACACCCCCAAATTTCATCCGATCTTGTTCCATCTAGAAGCAGTGTAACTATGTGACCGGAGGAAACGTGATCTGGCCCATAAGCTGATTGCTTAAGAAACCTCAAGGGACGCGGGCAGGATGTCCCTCACAGCCATCTTCAGCAGACAGCCAAAAGCGGTTCATGAAGTCAAAGTGCAGGTAAAACCTCAAGCGTAGAAATGAGCTGAGGGTTGGAACCCGTCTTTGTTGCCCTCGACAACAGCTATTAGCAGCTTCCATGCAGTTCACTGCTTCTCGAAAGCTGAATGTATGTCTCGGTAAAAATGAATTGCTTCAGCCAGGAGCTCGCTGAATGATGCCGGGAAGCCTATGGTGGAGACCGAAGGCCTTTTCTCCGAATTTGTCCCGGAAGCTTTTGAAGCCCTCCTGTTGTGTTGCATTCAGGGACCCAGGAAAATGAAAGGTTGGAGTCGTAAAACTGCTGATGCCCTAAAGCCTCGAATCGAAGAGAACTGCTGATGATGCTTTTGGACTTTTACACAGCGAGATGCGGTCCTGCTCCCATCTCGCGCCGTCTCTCCAAGTGCGGCTGCTATCATGGCCCCAACCGTCGTATTCCTGGATCTCCTGTGGCGTCCAACCTTCCTCGGATTGTCAGAAGTACGTCATCAAGTCAGATACATCTGATACCTCCTACTCCTAGCCGAAAGAAACGCAAAGCCTCAAGTGGAAGTGAACACGTATCGAAACGAGCGAAGTCAAGATGCGGGATCCCCCTCTGCCATGCTCAGATGGAGGACGAAACCCATGCCGCCAGTTGCATGCGGCACCTTTTGCTGCAAGATTGAAGGTGGACAGTCCGTGGCCGTGGATCGAGTTCCCTCTCTGCTACTCTTTGGGTTTAGAGGGGGTTTCTAGGGTTCCTGCTCATCCTGGCTTCGCGAGATGCCGCAAACTTGCCAATGGCTCCGGAGGACTTATCGGAGGAATCACAGCGCTCCTGTCCCCACAAAGCATAACATCTCAATCTCAGGATGAGGAGTGTCTTCCTCGCACTACCTGACCCAGTCCCCCAAGCCGGATATTGGGAATCGTAAAAAGAATAATCGCAAGCCACCATGTCGCAACAAAACAGAACATGCACCCGTGCCTGCCGGATCTCTCTGCCATGGAAAATGTTAACATTGTCGGCTGCAGCATCCTTTTTGTAGCCTCGGGACGCCATGGAGCGTGGAGCTGCAGATTGAGAGAATGGATGCAGTCTAAATTCTTATAGCTCCCATACGTACAGATCCTTACCCCGAGATGATCATGCCAGGACACCTGGCGTCATGAACATTCTGGGCTTGAACGAATCGAAGACGACCGGCTGCTTGCCCTCACCCTGCCCGACCTTGCAAGCGAGATCAGGCCTTGGGCAAAGTTCGGAGCAAGTCCAGAGGGAAGATCATGTTGGAGGTGGCACCAGGTAAATCTACTGAATATATCACACCATGCATCGGAAGGTGTTTAGATGAGTTGGTGCGTTCAGATCCATGAATCAAGTTCGTGTGGAAACTCCTGCAAGCAACTCTGATTCAAAACAGCTCCCAATAGCACGGGAGAATACACCAACACAGTGGCCTGCGCTAAGTGGTCTCGAAGCTTGTCTGACAGTACCAGCTGGAACATCATGCCCCCGCAGAAGTCGAAAGGTGCCTGATGCAAGGTCTTGAGGAAAGGGCTCCAGGCAGGTCTCGACAGAACTGAAGGTGCATGGCTTCTAACCTAGGCCTAGAGGCTTTTTCAGCGTTGGTGCAGGTGCCTTGGCATCATGAAGATCTACTAAGTACTTTGCCACGTTGAGGGGCTGGCCATAGACTTCATCCCTTGCTGTCGGGTCATGGAGGCGTTCGGGTGCGAGAGTGGCACAGCGTGCCGTCGCTTGCCCTCTACCGGCCGCGCCGGCAACACCCGTGACGAAGTTCATGGTGCAATGACAGATGGCCAGGAGCCCACAGAAACAAAGAGCCCGCGATCCGCTCCAGCGTTTGGGCAGCATGGCCAACGCGGCCTCCTGCACCTAAAACTCTGTGAGCCTTAAAAGCTGAGCTAGCTGCGGCTACAACGTCAACAAGCACCAGGAAGAAACGACGGCTTTTCCTTGTGCAGCTGCTATGCGTTTTGTGCGTGTCTTGCGCGTAGGAGTGGGGGTGGACCTTCCAGTGCTGCTCGGCTGCCGGAGCTCACGTAAGACTTCTGTTTGAGAGTAGAACTCAATCTAAGTGTCTTCCATACCTTCCGGATTTATTGGGGTTTCGAGTCCACTTCTGTGCAGACGGGATGCGGTCGCATTGGCACACAGCCCCCGTCACCAGCACTTGAAGAACCCTTTCAACTTTTTTTGGAGCTTACCACTGTTGATATCAAGTTGCGACCACTCCAACTGCCCGCAGATATCAACTGCTTGAGAAGCTCCCACTCTCTTTTGAGTGAAGATTTCAACAACTCTTCCAGCTCTAGTAATCTGTTTGTACAAGCCTTCTCTTACACTTGCTCACAGTGCTGTCAGCAATCCTCGACAACTGATGGATGTCTTGCAAACACGAAAGAAATCCTAAAATCCTAAAACCTCATATTGGTAAGCCTTGTCTGGGTGCGTCGGAAAGGTCGTACACGTGAGCGCTACCCCCACGCCCACTCACCCGCCGCCCGGTACCGAATGAAATTCAACCTCAAATCGCTAACGCCGCCGAGAACGACAGGCACGGACGTACATCACCAAAAAAGTTATGGACAACCACAAAACTCGTTCCAGGTTGCATCAATGTTGAATCTGGGTAATGAGTGCTGGGCTGGCAATCTTTGCTTTTGAGGATGGGTATGGATGGTTTCAGCTGCCAAGAAACCGAAACTCCACAACATCTCTTTTCCCGTAACATGCTTTGACGAGTCTGCGGCTTTCGAGCCCATTCGAGCTCAGGCGGGGAGACCCATGCCCGTCGGCTTAGCAAGCCGACGCCTAACCACTCAGCAACCGAAAAGGGTGCTCTCACTGAAGCTGGTGTAAAAGACTGGAAGTCTTTCCCGAAATGGCTCAGAGAGGAAACTGCGCCTCGGTCCTAGAGATGTGAAACATGCTAAATCTAGCGCTCAGAGCCCCAAGCTTCGGCCAATGTCAGACATCCAGCCACCGAGAAATCCAACGCCAGGGTAATTACTTTGGCTGTGTCGGGCTTCACGCCGCTCAGGCTTCTCGCAGGTTGGGGGTCCAAGAAGGCATAGGTTGTCATGGAGGCTTTTGATGGCATGGCATAGTGACTTGCATGACGCTGACCATTTCCTCAGAACAATGAGCAATGTACTGATTGCAAACACAGCTCTTACATACAACAACCCTCATTTTGTTGTTCCTCTTCTGTCGTCCATGCTGTTGCAGCAATAGTAGCCAATGGCGAGATCGTCACGATGATAGCTCTAACTCCCGATTGAGAATGGTAGCACAATACCCCAACACCCCCTGGCCGGAGAGAGGAGCACAGCTTGCTGAGAGCATGTCAGCTTGGGCAGACCCGACCTCAAGGAGCTACTGCAGACTGTTCAAGACTTCAAGACACACTGTGTGCAGAAGATTTAGGCAAACCTCCCTGGTGTTGGCATCAGGCTAACTTCAGCTGATCTTGGACAGCACTGGGTTAGACCTAAGAAGCTTCTGGAAGATGATATCGGGCCTCGGTCATAGAGTGGTCACCATGCGCAGAAGCAAGTGATCGCGGCTGAAGAAACGGAGACCCCGTCTTTGGCTCAAGTGCTCTAATTCTTCTACCGGTACAGTACTGGTGTTCTTCAGCTGTTAAGCAAAAACCTAATGAGTCCACGCCGAATGCAGAAACTATGAACACCAGCACGTACATATGAATTATCAAGGACATTGGCAAGTCTTTAACAGAGTATGCAAACATGTTTTGGAAACAGCCAACTATATGAGCTCTTTCCTGCGCAGCATGCCTGCTGTCAAGATGCTGTAGTCGGGACAGCAGTCCTGGTGCGCCGTGCACTCTGCATTGCAGGAGCACCTGCGAAAGTGTCAGGTGGCTTTCAGGAACTCTGTCCAAGACCACATCCTGGACCCAAAAGGGCTGCAAGGCTGCAGACTTCTTTATGGACCTCCGGCTCTTCGGTTTCAGGGTTGGGCAGTAAGCCCAGACCTCCGGCCAAGCTCCGTAGATTCTAAGTGTCTCCTTTGTCAGGCTTGAGCTACAATGTGTAGACTGTGTAAATCCAGCCGTCTCTAAAGTCTGAGATGCCAGTAGCCCAACACGCCAGACTTCTGAAAGAGGATGACTGATTGGAAACCACGAACTATTCCTTTGAATCCCAGGCTTGGAACCATCAAACCTTCAAGCCGAAGTCACTTCAAAACCCCAACTGTACTGGTAGGCCTTTAAGCGAGGTCCGGGCTGCTGAGAAGACACCATACCAACATCCTAATGCACGAGGCAAGCTCGAAGATTTCAATGATGTAGACCTCTCCTGAAGCAACCTGGCTCCCGTAGGATTCTTACGTGGATCCGACTACTGTGGCGACCTTCAACACGTTTTCTTTTGCGAATCACGTTTCTTGAATATGTTTTGCACCGAAACGCTGAAATGCAAGCTCAAAGCAGGACCAAGCTCAAACCCGGTGGACACCCAGAACCGCTCATCTCTCACGCATGGCATGCACGCAGCTTTACATGGCTTTGTGCGTTTGGAGCTCGGTTCGCTCAGTAAAGAAGTCCACAAACTGCAGAAAGAAGGCACCCGCCACCCATGCCCCGGATGTTGCAGCCCATCTCGCTGCAGTTGGAAGGCCTGGGTCCATTTCGAGTTCGGGGGTCCAGCATGCGGGACGTAGGGTTGAAGGTGAAGGCCTGAAATTCATTCAATGTTCTCTCAGGTTGGCTCCAAGTTAGGGGGTGAAGCTTCGCATCTCGGCAACTCCCTGAGTTGGGAAGATGGAAAGACTGGCCAGTGCACCTGCATCCTCGCAAATCCCCGAAGCCCCAAACTGCCATTCCCTGTAGTCGTTCAGAGTCGGCCAGCAGAGCATCGCGCATGTCCTGGTAATGCGCACCGTAGAGGCGCCTCGCCCACAGCAGCGCCTCAAAAGCATCTGGAGTTTGTGGTTTGCATTGAGCGGCATAGTATCTTCTCAGCTTTCATATCATCTATCTGTATGCACATACAAAAAGTGTGGTGAGAGCTAGTTCTGACACACGTGGGCCGGTGCTGGCCGGAAGCCTGCAGTCTCTCAGAGATCTGGGATCCTGCATTTAGGACGTGCCTGCTCATCTGCATAGTACATGAAACCGCGTTCTGGGGGGCACGAGACCTGAATCCTGACCCTGGGGTATTCTCAAATTAACTGCGTCTTGCGGTCCTCACTGAAGAATGCCGCTTTAAGCTTCCCGCCCCCGGATTCGTAAACCTCAGTAGTCTAACGGGACGGCAAGGTGACAGCTGAGCTTCTCACAGAAGCTGCAAGTGCGTCGGCATCTTCAGGTGCAGACATCACGCTGCACCAGCCCTGATTCCGGCTTTCAAGACTGGTTATGGGGTTTCAGCAGTTGATGTCCGACGAATCAATTTCCATCTTCTGGGCCCATGGACGCAGGAGGCACACAAAGAAAGGAAGCTTCTGCCTTTGGAGCTTCAGGGTGTAGGAAGGCCTTCCTTCTTCGAGGCTTTCGACCTTTGAGGCATTCGGCCTGGATGGAGCTTCACGACTTACAGCTTCTCCCAGGCCTTCTTGGACGCTTATTGCCATATAGTGAATTCATCTGCTGAGGTCGCAGCCAAAGGAGCTGCACCTGGCAGATCATCCATCCAACCGTCGTGGCCTCGGGAATGCTCAATCAGGGCTCACCGACATGCAGCGAGTACATGCAATATCAACCACAAGCAAGAACGAAAACCATAACCACGGCCACGGCGACTATACGACGAACGACTGCCACAGCCATGGCCACATCACGGCTAACCCACCGCAGCAGCAGCAGCAGCAGCGTCAGCAGCAGCATCAGCATCAACAAAACCGAAAGCTGTAGGACTGTGGGTTTGTATCCTGTCAGTCCCCGAGGCGTTCCAAGCCCTTGTAAGCCCAATAGGCTTTGCAAGCCCGAGGCCAAATCCTCCCAAACCCTCCCTAGCATCCCTCCAAAACCGAATACAGCTTGACAAGATATGACTCGCGCTGGGTCATATCGATTCAGCCAAAGCCCCAAGCCCCACATCGACAATGTGTTCTGAGGCATGAGCAGAAAGTATGTACATGCAGCCATCCGACACTGACCTTCGACAGTAGGTCACAGGGCGCACTGCTTAAGGAGTTGAAGAGCTCATGGATTCAGGGGTTCGTTGCATCAAGGCAAGTTGTCGGCTGCGCCTCCGAGGCCAAGGCTCCAAACCAAACCCCGCACAACTGAAAAGCAAGGGGTCAATCTCACACGATGCTTGCTTGGGAGTTTACATGTAAGGCTAGACGGCTACATGCCAGTATGCGGCGTTCCAAGATTTTCAGGTGAGCCTGAACGGATTAGGATGGTTGTGGATTCGTGAGCAGTCTTGCCGACCAAGCGCATGCTCAGCAGAGTGAACGCATTGCCGAACGGGTCCTCACAGTTTCAAATCGACTTCATTATTGACAGGTATTTAGAGCAAGCCTCGGAAAAGTGCATCTCAAATCCCTGGCCGAAGGGAAAGGTTTACGTTCCCCAAATAAATGCATTGTTGATCAGCAGAAAACAAAACTAAAGCTTGCATGCACAAGGAGGGACTCGTTGCGAGCGCAATGAAAGTCGGTGTCTCCACCAGATGCAATTAAAATGCTATGGTAACACATGCAGACCCGGTCCTGTGTCCACTTTCGCACCTCAGATGCGCAAAATTGAATGGGGAAGCTGAGTTGTTGGAGATGGAATAAGTGGAAGCGGCGAGCAAACTGGGGAA